TCAGCTCCCCGGGGTCACTCCAGAGTCACTCCCTGCCTGCAATGGGGTTAAGGCCAGATCCTGATCTCAGCTCCCACGGGAAGTTTGCTGGAATTGGCGGTGTCCCTAGGTGGCCACAGAGCTGTATGCCGGCTCCATGCCAGCCCCACACTGAGCCCTCAGCACGGGGCCCCCCTTTGAGCTGTGCTGACGTCTCCGCAGAAAAGATCCACGAGGAGATCGACCGGGTGATCGGGCGGAACCGCGCCCCGAGCATGGAGGACCGGAGCCGGATGCCCTACACCAACGCCGTCATCCACGAGTTCCAGAGGTTCTGTGACGTCATCCCCATGGGCCTGGCGCGCCGGGTGACCAGGGACACCCAGTTCCGGGGATACACTATTCCCAAGGTAGGGTCCTGGGGCGTCTATCCCCTGCCCCGTCCCATGGCTGTGTAGGGCTCAGCATTGTCGCTTGCTCTGGATTCCGGCGCACTGCCGCAGACAGGGCGGTGCACCGGGCTCGATGCTGCCTCTGGGAAGTCGGGTCCTCTAGTGGGCACGGCACCGGAATGGGAATCACGAGACCCGGTTTCTATTCCCAGCTCGACTATTAGCTCAGCTTGTGATCTAGGGCATCGCTCCGTGCCTCAGTTTCCCCCACATGTTAAATGAAGAAATGGCGTGAATGACTCCCCAACACTTTTCTATTTACACCGGAAGCTCTTTGGGACAGGGAATATCGCTCCCTTTGTCCAGCGCCCGGCACGACGGGGCCCTGATCGCAGCTGGGGGGGTACCGTAATACACCTAATAATAACACTCATCCATGTGGATAAATACCCTTAGCCTGACTTCTAGTGCCATCTTAAACCCCACCCGGTGGGTACGGAAAGCCAGGAGGTTCACGCTGGGTACGGTGTATGGGCCAGTGCTGTGCTGGTGTACACCAACAAAGCCACAGCCACTGAGGACCTGGCCCAGTATTATTATTAGCTGTATTTTGTATTCCCATCGTGCCGAGGAGCCGCAGTCACGGACCAGGACCCCACCGCGCTCGGTGCGGTACAAACACACACAAAAGACGCTGCCCCATAGAGCTCGCAATCTCAGTGTTAATCCGCAGGGGCAGCATGGTTCCGTGGTGAGAAGGAGGAGTCCGGACTCCTGGGTTCCCTTCCCAGCTTCGGGAGGAGCAGAGGGCAGTAGCTAAAGCAGAGGGCGTTGGGAGACACATGCCGAGACGTGAACGTCGGATTGTGGCCTGACCAGGCTCCTGCAATTTAATATTTGCTTTTGCTGCAAATTCCTCCCGTGGTTAGAATGACCCTGAATTGTGCCCCAACATCCGCGCTGTGGGTTATCTGCGTTTAATCATTGCTGTCTGTCGCCTTCTCTTCCCCCAGGGGACGGAGGTGTACCCGATGCTGGGATCCGTGCTGTATGACCCCACGCAGTTCAGCAGCCCCGACACCTTCGACCCCAGCCATTTCTTGGATGGGAACGGCCAGTTTAAGAAGAGCAACGCCTTCGTGCCCTTCTCAATAGGTATGAATCCCCCGCAGAACTCGGTTCTGAGTGTCCCAAGCAGCGAGATCTGGGCCTGGCGTAGCCGCCCGCTGCTAGACCTCACCCTGCGTACAGAGAATTGTGGGGCCAGATCCTCATCCGGTGTAAATCAGTGTCACTCCATTGGGGTCAAGGGGGCTGTTCACACACACTCTGGGGTAGGTGTGCGCTGAAGCCCCGTGGGGAATCGGGGCCTTGTGAGCTCTTTGGGGCAGGGACCGTCTCTCCCCGTGGGTCTGTCCAGCGCCTAGCACAAAGGTACCCTGACCTCGGGTGAGGCCGACGGACACATCTGGGGTAATTATCAGCTGTGTGCCACAGAACTGGTCACTCAAGAGAACACAAATGTCCCATAGACACAAGTTGCTCGGCTCACTGCGGAACTGGGTGAAACTGAATGGTGTGCAGGGGGCAGAGGTCAGACTCGATGATCCCAATGGGCCCTTCTGGCCAGAGAGTCTGGTCCTGAGCGTGTTATTTCTCTGTCCTGGGTCCTCGCCGTCCATCCCAGCTCAGTATCGTTAAACCGAGCCGAGGGGGTAATTCTTCACTGGCCCCTTTATCGGCGAGACGCAACCACGTCGCAAATTCACATCGATGTCGCCAAATTGTTTGTGTCAGGAAAAAAACAAGCCAAAATTCTGAAAAAGTCAAAACGTTGCAACCTTTCCTAAACCAAACGTTTCCATTTTTCAGTGAGAAACTAGTTAGAGTTTCAAAATTTCCTCTCACGTTTTTTAAGTCAAAAATGTTTCAAACGATGGAAATCGAAACCAAAGCTTGATAAAAATTTCATCTCGGCTCGACCGAAACGTTTCGTTTCGACTCAATCGAAACTTGGATTGAGTCAAAACGAAACGTTTCAGTTGAGCCGAGATGAAATTTTTTCCAACCGTTCGATGTGACGAAAATCTCGAACAGTTTCATTTCAGTTTGGTGCGAAACTATGTTTTTTCCAGTTTTTCTGAAAACTCCATTATTCGCCCAGCTGCAGTGCTGAGAGCACCCATTGGTTTGAACCAGGCCTGTGAGTGCCTATCCATCAAAGTCGGGCCTGCCGAAAACCATTAATCCCTCCCAGCACAGCAATGTCATGCGGCTGCCCCCTCTACAGATCTTTAAATGAACGGCACCCAATTTCCCCAGCAATCCCCACTGCTCCAGACTGGGGCATTGTTTGAACAAGGGGTGAGACCCCCTCCCAGAGTCTCACCTGCCCTGGCAGTCTGCTCCGGCCGGGCCATGATGCCTCCTTTGTCCTCTCTCCTAGGGAAAAGGTATTGTTTCGGGGAGATGCTGGCTATCACGGAGCTCTTCCTCTTCCTCACCAGCATCCTGCAGAACTTCCGCTTCCGCTCCCCCGTGGAGCCCAAAGACATCGACATCTCCCCAAAGCTGGTCGGGTTCGCCACCCTGCCCCGCAGCTACGAGATATGCCTGGTCCCGCGCTAGCAGCCCCGCGGAGCCAGACGGGATTTCTGGGGGCAGCCTTGGGGAGGGAGGGGAAGGGAGAAACCTGGGGATGGGGAAGGAACGACCCAGCCATGTATCATGTTGAGAACTGGGCCCATCAGAAGAAGGAGCCAAGGGGGTGAATCTCCTGGCGGCTGGTTTCCGGCTGCACAAGGGAACGAGATCTCCCCTAATGAGACACTGTCTCTGAGGGTTCGTCTACATGACACACCTAACTCGACCTATAGGAGGCCGACTTACAGCCATGGTGCATGTCCACCCTGCCCTCACCGGGGCACGTTCCCCCACCTAAGAGGGGCAGTGTGGGGGGCTGAGAGCCTTGTCTCTCCGCCCCGCTGGCAGCTCCCTGCCAGGAGCCCAGCTGCCCCACAGGCTCCCGACCGGCCGTCCCCCTGCTCTGCTCCCCGTTCCCCGCCGGAAGCAGGAGCAAGTCTCCTGGGGCTTCTCAGCCTCCCCCAGCCCACTCCCCGCCAGGAGCCAGGCAGCCTTGTCCATTTCACAGCTCCCAAGGCAGGGGCCGCTCAGGCTTCTCACCCCGGCTCCCAGCCGGAAGCAGTGTCCAGCCACCCTGGGGAGCAGGGTTGTGGGGAGGGACTTTCCTGTCAATTTCACTGCTCCTGCCATGAAATTGACGAGACGCCGATGTAAGGGAGGCAGTGTCTGTGTAGCAGGGCACTTACATCTGTGGGGCGAAGGCTGTAGTGTGGACACTGACATAATGAGATCGACATACGCTGCCTTCTGTCGACCTAACGACATAGTGTAGACCTGGGCTCAATCTCTCTCTCTCTCTCTCTCACACACACACAATTCCATTCCAAGCATCTTGCAAATTGTGAAACGTTGGGGATCTTTCGATTTTGTGAAGATTTGGGGGGGGGGCATTTACAAACGGGGAATTTCAGGGCAAACAAATCCGTGGCCAGCCGAATTTCAAAATTTACAGTATCTTTCCAACGTCCAATTTTGGGGCTTATCAGTTCAGGCTCTTTAGGGAGCGGGGAAATGAATTGTGTTAAAATCCCACAGCTTTAATGGTGAATTTGGAGGTGAAGGTTTGTGCCAGGCCCCAAACTCGACAGGTTCCCTTTTAAACAGAAACCTTTTCCTATAGCTGTACCCTCTGATTGGCATACGGCTTCAGCTGGGGGCGGGGGGCGATCATTCGCGTGGGGGTAACAGGACTTCTGCTTGCTCTCTGCACCGGGATGAATCTGACCACGCCGCTGTCTCTCACGGGAGTGTGCGTCCGTCACTCAGTCACTGTCAGGGCAACCTCCAGTGGTCACCTTTTAAAATAAAGCTGCAATGCAACTCCTGCTTTCCCTTTGTTACCCGGTATTCACAGCAGCCGGAGCTGACAGCCTGGAGGAATATCCTCCTCGGGAAAATTCTGGTCTGGGTAAATGTGAAGTAACGCCACTGACGCTGGTCTCACTCGGGCGGCTTACACAGATTCACCCAAGGTTTGTTCTTTCAGTTTCTCACCGGAATAAAAACCCGACAAATAAATTGTCCCAGACCCAAAACCACCCGAACCGAAATGAAAAAAACCAACCTGCCATTTGAAACGTTTTTCGGTTAGTTCCTCAGAGTGGCTTTTGAACCGAACCGCATTGTTTAATTTTTCAATTGGGTTTTTTTAACCCTTTTTTTGCGGGGGGGAGTTGTAAAAATCTAGCTACATTTCAAACCAGTACCATTTTGAAATGGAAAGTCGAGGCGTTTCATTGCGAAAGGATGGGGACAAACTCTTTCAACTTTAAAGGGGAAAAAATCAGGCTTTTTGTGGCTGGAAGTATTTGCTGAATTGGACCCAAATTCATGACTCATTTTGGTGCCCTGAAAACTGCACTTCGGGGCAAATTTACTACGGGCTGAAAACATTTCGCCCGGCTGTAGAAATGACTCAGGGCCCATCTTGGGGGATAACTTCGCAGTCTCTCTTGCCTGTCTGCCCTTTGCCTTCTTGGATTGAATTCCACCGGCTTCCCCTTCGCCTCCCGCCGCGCCAAGCGAGAAGAGGCCCAGAATGCGCACAGCTCAGCTGCGAAGCAAAGCAGCGTAACTCCGGGGGCAGACAAGTCCTCAAGGAGCCCAGGAAAGGCTGCAGGGGAACTGGTTGCCCCTTCCAGTCCAATGTCCTTGGCTGAAGCGTTTCCAGACTCGGGTGTCCAATATCCCCCCCAGCCCCCGAGCAGCGATGTTTGGGAGTGGCCCGACGGGAGGACGGACGAACTGCAGCCTTTGTGCCCCGGGAACCCTGAATCCCTTGTTCTCCCGGCCCTCCCCGGGGGTGGAGGGAAGCCAAACTGCAGTTGCACAAGCGGGTTGTGCAAGAGGCAGCGATGCCAGGGCCCGGCTGGCCGGGTATATAGCCGACTGCAGCGCGGAGAAGGGCAGCGGAGCACAAGAGGCTCCCAGCCCACCATGGATCTCCTCGGAGCCGTCACCCTGTTCCTGGCCATCGGCCTGTCCTGCCTCGTGCTCCTCTCCACCTGGCGGCAAATGCAGGGCCGGGGGCAAATGCCCCCAGGGCCCACCCCGCTGCCCCTCCTCGGGAACCTGCTGCAGGTCGAGCTCCGCAACATGCGCAAGTCGCTGATGAAGGTAGGTGGGCTCGTCCCGGGACGTCCCGGGGAGCCCTGACCCCTCAAGGGGTCTCCAGCTCTCACCAACGCCCCCTCAGAGCCGCCGACCTGCTCAGCCTTTAGGAGCTTTATTAAGTTTCTGTGACTCCAGGTATCTCTGGGGCCGGGGGTGGTGTGTCGGGGAGGGGCACTAGGGCAGTGCAGGATGGGGGGGGGGATTGGTGTGTCTGTGGGGAGGGGCGAAGGGCAGGCTGTGCTGGGGGGTGGGGGGGATCTTGGGGTGGGGGATGGGTGGCAAGGAGGGGCAAGGCAGGGGGTGGGGATGGGGGAGCAGGGGACGGGCAGGCGTCGGGGTGGGAAAGGGGTGCTCTGTGGGGGGCGAGGAGGGGCAGGGCACGTGTCTGTGTGTCCCCGACGCTCTGTCCCCCCGGCCCACACGGCGTCTCCGTGGCAGATCAGCGAGCGCTACGGCCCCGTCTACACCCTCCACCTGGGCCCCCGGCGGGTGGTGGTGCTGTGCGGATACCAGGCGGTGAAGGAGGCCCTGGTGGACCAGGCCGAGGCATTCAGCGGGCGCGGGGAACAAGCCACCTTCGACTGGATCGCCCAGGGCTACGGTCAGTGGCGTCCGTGGGAGGGGAGCGAGCCGGGGGGGGCGGGGCGCAAAGGGGGTCACTCAATGCCGAGCTCGACCTGGGGCAGAGCGGAGCAGAGGTCTGGCTGGGCCGTTCCCAGCAATCCCGAAAATATCTGTCTTTATGCAACCACCGGTCGGACAGGGAGCAGCCTCCCACCGGTTAGATCCTGGGAGACAGATCCACCGCTCAGCTCCGCCAGGCTAGGGCCAGGGAGCGTCTCAGTTCAGTCATCGATCTGTGGGGTGGGTCCAAACTCAGTTGGGGGGGAGGGATTCTCATTTAGATGGGGGGGGGTGACGTCATTTTAAAAAATCCCCCTCTCAGCATTTCATTTGGCATTTTGCACTTGCTTCCCTCCCTCCCCCCAAAAGGAAAAAGCCTCAATAAACCTTCAAAACTCAGGGGTGGTCAACTTTTCAGTCCTCATAAGAACATCAGAGCGGCCAGACCGGGTCAGACCAAAGGTCCAGCTAGCCCAGTGTCCTGTCTTCCGACAGTGGCCAGTGCCAGGTGCCCCAGAGGGAGTGAACAGAACAGGGCAGTTATCGAGTGATCCATCCCCTGTCGCCCATTCCCAGCTTCTGGCAAACAGAGGCTAGGGACACCATCCCTGCCCCTCCTGGCTAATAGCCATTGATGGACCTTCCTCCATGAACTTATCTAGTTCTTTTTGAACCCTGTTATAGTCTTGGCCTCCACAACATCCTCTGGCAAGGAGTTCCACAGGTTGACTGTGCGTTTTGTGAAGAAATACTTCCTTGTGTTTGTTTTAAACCTGCTGCCTATTAATGTCATTGGGTGACCCCTTGTTCTTGTGTTATGAGAAGGAGTAAATAACACTTCCTGATTTACTTTCTCCACACCAGTCATGATTTTATAGCCCTCTAGCATATCGCCCCTTTGTCATCTCTTTTCCAAGCTGAAAAGTCCCAGTCTGATTCATCTCTCCTCATACGGCAGCTGTTCTATGCCCCAATCACTTCTGCTGCCCTTCTCTGAACCTTTTCCAATTCCAATATATTGTTTTTGAGATGAGGAGATCACATCTGCACACAGTATTCAAGATGTGGGTGTACCATGGATTTATATAGAGGCAATATGATATTTTCTGTCTTATTATCTATCCCTTTCTTAACGATTCCCAACATTCTGTTTGCTTTTTTGACACCGGTGCACATTGAGTGGATGATTTCAGAGAACTCTCCACAATGACGCCAAGATCTTTCTTGAGTGGTAACAGCTAATTTAGACCCCATCATTTTATATGTCTAGTTGGGATTCTGTTTTCCAATGTGCATTACTTTGCATTTATCAACATTGAATTTCATCTGCCATTTTGTTGCCCCGTCACCCAGTTTTGACAGGTCCTTTTGTAGCTCTTTGCAGCCTGCCTGGGACTTAACTAGCTTGAGTAGTTTTGTATCATCTGAATATTTTGCCACCTCACTCTTTACCCCTTTTTCCAGACCATTTATGAATATGTTGAATAGGACTGGGCCCAGAACAGACCCCTGGGGGACACCACTAGTTACCTCTCTCCATTCTGAAAACTGACCATTTATTCCTACCCTTTGTTTCCTGTCTTTTAACCAGTTACTGATCCATGAGAGGACCTTCCCTCTTATCCCATGACAGTTTACTTTGCTTAAGAGCCTTTGGTGAGGGACCTTGTTAAAGACTTCCTGAAAATCTAAGTCACTACATCCACTGGATCCCCCTTGTCCACATGCTTGTTGACCCCCTCAAAGAATTCTAGTAGATTGGTGAGGCATGATTTCCCTTTACAAAAAATATGTTGACTTTTCCCGAACAAATTATGTTCCTCTATGTGTCTGACAATTTTGTTCTCTACTATAGTTTCAACCAGTTTGCCCGGTACTGAAGTCAGGCTTACTGGCCTGTAATTGCCAGGGTCACCTCTAGAGCCCTTTTAAAAAATTGGCGTCACATTAGCTATCCTCCAGTCATCTGGTTCCTTCTGCTCTTTTGCCCACCCCAGGAGTGGCCTTCAGCAACGGGGAGCGGGCGAAGCAGCTGCGCCGGTTCTCCATCACCACGCTGAGGAACTTCGGGGTGGGGAAGCGAGGCATCGAGGAGCGGATCCTGGAGGAGGCTCATTTCCTGCTGGAAGCCTTGCGGGGCACGAAAGGTTTGTCGGTGTCCTGTTCCTCCGGTGCCGGGGCTAGGAGGGGGCTCCAGATCCCCAGCTGGTGTGAACTGCCCGTAGCTCCATTGGGGTCAATATGGGGCCAGCCCCACAGCGGCAGTTAATCAGCCATCTCTCCACCCCACACCAATTAACTTCAGAGAAGGGTTTGTCTGTCACTCCCAAAGTGGTCTACAAAGGAGGTTGGGAGCATTATCCCATTAGGTGGGCGGGGAAACTGAGGCATGGGTCATCCCGGCAGGGCTCGAGCGAGGCATTCAGGAGATCTCTGTTCGCTTCCCGGCTCTAGGACAGACCGCCGGGCCTGCCGAGAAGGGGGGTCGGGAACAGAGTGAAGATGGTGTGGTGCTGAGATGCCCCGGTCCTGGGAACCAGAGTGGGGCAGAGCCACTTATGGCGCTGCTGGCTGGGGGGAACTAGTCCAGTGTTCGCCTCTAGGCTTCGTGGCCCCCTTTGCCCAGGGCGGAGCTTACAGGCATGTGTCCGCATGGCAGGTGGCTGCTGCAAGATCAGGGAGAAGGGGGTCCCTGGGGACCATGGGGGTTGTGGCAGCAGAGACGGTCTGTGGCACAGCCTACTGGCTTGCCTGTACCCCACCCAACGCTGGTTGTACCCCCTAGGTTTGCCCTTTGACCCCACCTACTTCCTGAGCCGCACGGTGTCCAACGTCATCAGCTCCGTGGTCTTCGGGGACCGGTTCGACTACGAGGACAAGGAGTTCCTCTCCCTGCTCCACATGATCACCGAGAGCTTCCGCTTCACCGCCACGGACTGGGGGCAGGTACGCCGAGCGGGGGGGGGGCCAGGCCACGTCCCACGGCCCTGAGACCTGCCTGCCCTGTGCTGCGGGGATCGGGGGGAGTGCTGGTTAGCTAGGGGAGCTGAGGGGGATGTGAGAACGCTGGGAGGGCAGCGAAGAGGAAAACCTAGGACCTGCAGTGATGGGTATGAAATAGATACAGGGGAATGTCGGGGGATGGACAGAGAGTGTGAATGGAGATAGTTAGATAGATAGATAGATGGGGGTGTGGGGATAGATAGATAGATAGATAGATAGATAGATAGATACAGGGGGTGTGTGGGGATAGATAGATAGATAGATAGATGGATAGAGGGGGTGGATGGGGATAGATAGATAGATAGATAGATACGGGGGGTGTGGGGATAGGTAGATAGATAGATAGATAGATAGATGGGGTGGATGGGGATAGATAGATAGATAGAGGGGGTGTATGGGGATAGATAGATACGGGGGGTGTGGGGATAGATAGATGGATAGATACAGGGTATGTGTGGGGATAGATAGATAGATACAGGGGGTGTGTGGAGTTAGATAGATAGATACAGCGGGTGTGTGGGGATAGATAGATACGGGGGTGTGTGGGGATAGATAGATAGATAGATAGATAGATAGATAGATAGATAGATACAGGGTGTGTGTGGGGATAGATAGATAGATAGATTAGATAGAGAGGGTGTGTGGGGATAGATAGATACGGGGGCGTATGGGGATAGATAGATAGATA